CTCATATTTCTTTCATAGTACCCCCACTTAAGCTGCAGAAAAAATTAATATTGAAACATACTATTCTATTTACAAATGGCCAATTCCAATTTTTTTTATCAGTTGTTTGGAGATGTCACCAAGCAGTAGTATGTAAGCAAATAACCTTCTAGTCTCCATTCCTATTATTCAACAAGAATAACTTATCACACATCACACATTGTGTTAGAAACCAGAAGTAGAGGAAAAACGAGTTAATTTCCTTTCTGGCAGGGAGTTTAAAGCCTAGGAAGTGGGAAAGATATGTTTACATATTTGTAGTATACCACAATAAATATAATAAAAATCCATTACATGTCTTAACGGTGGCACAGAAGATTAAATAGCTGGAGTCAGAGACGATTCCCCCAAACCGGTGGCGTGTTAACTGACTCAAAGGTGAGAAGTTCTGCTAGAGTAGGAAGTAAAGGCACTGCAAATAAGGGGCAGGGCATTTGCAAGTGCAGCAGCAGCTGATGCACAAGGATCTTTAAGTGGCTAATTAAGGCGTGAGCGTAGGTTGTATTTGGGAAGTGGTAGGTGGCTAGAGAAGTAGTTAAAAGCAGAATGTAGAAAGTTAAATATGTTCTATCTAGGAAATTAGAAAGACGTTGGAGACTTTTAAACAGCAGAGTAACAATTACCAAATACTCCTTTCCCTAAATTCTCATACAGATTTTTCTATTCTGTGCTCTCCCAGGTTCTGTATCTCTGATCCCCTTACCCATCCCACAGATTCTACTCATGTGAAAGAACTGAGCCTCACTGAACTATCTGCTCTCTCTGAGTTGCTCTTTTGGAAATTTTATTGCAATGCTTTGAAACATTGTGTTTCAAATATTGGTTTCTCTCTTTATTACAAATGGTTTTGGTTTTGTTTTTGTTTTTGTTATGGTAAGGACCAATTCCATATAATAGTTTCAGAAATGGGGCTCTTCTTCAATGTGAATATACTCACAAAATCTCTATGAAGATTGTATACAAAATGTCTACTAATTTTTAATGGCCTTATATGAGAAGGGAATATTTGAAGAGTCCACTTAGATGATTCTTCTTCACTATTAATAAAAATATGCTCTTTTCTGTCCTTCAAATATAGCCTAAGAAGTTAGAGTTAAAAATCTCTAGTATACCTCTTTTTTTTTCCTTTCAATTAGACCATTTCCTGCTTACCACACAAAGGTTGCATCAACCTTTCATTTAATGTATAATTGGGATGTATACAGCACTACATTTAAAAGAGAAATTCATAACTGGAAGAAAGAGGATGTAAAAGTTTTGTTCTTGTTAGTAGAGATGAGATTTCTTAAAAATGCCCAGAACTTAGGACTAAATAAATTGATCAGCAAGTTTACATATCAACCTGTAAGAACAACACAGGATTCCAGTTTAAAACCACTGGAACTTCTGTTTGTGTAATAAATGTCTTGTCTCTTAAAATGCAAATGTCTTGCATTAATAATGGAAAAGGGGTTAGCAACAAAAAAATATACTCTTTGTCATGTTCACTGTTGACTTTACATATCATATTTCATTAATTATTTCATAGCATTGATATTAGGATTTTAAAATTCCCAAATTACATTCCAGAAAAGTTGATTTATATATCTTTATTACTGATGGAATAGTGTGAAATGTCACAGGCTCTAAAACCACTTTCCCTTTTATATTTCACTTCACAACTTCAGGCTAATATTAAAATATTTAGTAGAGTCTGATCATTTCCTGCTGGTTGGATTGTATTAAAAATATATGGCTTTATGGGCATAGAAATTAAATATGTGAACAATCAGGCTTTGTAAAAATGTACCACATGTTAACCTAAGTAAAAGCAATAAAATATAAACAAAATGTGAAAATTTAGAACACTCTCATAATATATGTTCTTTTTATGAGCTAACTGCTCTGTTGTGGATCAAATTGCACAGATCAGGAAAAAAAGATATAATTTAAAAGATCTTTCATGTAGTTTTTAAAATGATAAAACTAAACGAAATCTTTAGTTGGGCTATTTGATCATAAATCACTTTTAAGGTTAGTGGCTACCTGATGTGGTATTCTGACACCTTGACAATAAAGAAGGGCTTATGACAGTGCTGGGGGCATTGTTTTAAAGTGTTTTCCTACAGTTAAGCAGTAAATCAGTGACTGACAGGATTCCTAACCTGCCACATTTTACCCTGGTTACATTAAATCTGCATTACAATGTAAAATGTAATGTGTCCCAATCCCAGCTGAAGAAAAGTTACTCCTAGAAATCTGCATGTAAAAACTCTGGATGAAGTCTTGTTTGCATACAATCATGTAATTTCTAAGAGAATGCAGCAGTTTCCAATAATTGCTTGAAGCCCCAGGGAGAGTTATTCCAGAAAAAGAAGTCATAGGTTGATTTATTTTTCTCTTTCATGGATGTGTTTGTTCATTTGCCCAGACTTTTTGGCAGTGAATAAATTTAATATATCAACCAAAATAACAAAATTATTGTACTAATTTTGAAAGGCAATACAGTGTAATACTTTTAATAATGTGTTAACTTTAACTGTGTGTATTATATAACAGTACAAAGAAGAGGGTGCAGGAATATAGAGGACTTTATTTAGTACATCCAAAATAACCTAACTGATTTGTCTGCAGACTCACTACAACCTATCCATTAAACTGAATTTCTTGTAGAAAAACTGTGACCAATTTCAAATTACTGAATTATGCTGTCAGTATTTGCAAATGTCACTCATGTAACAGCAGTACCATACAGGCTTTCCTGGAAAATTTGACTTGTAAAAGAGAAAAAGAGTTCTCTTAAAATTAAAAAAAAATAAGATTTAAAGTAAAAGGAAATTCAGACATGCACTCTCACGAGGAAGAATTATAGAAAGAGGGAGTGATGATACCTTTATAATACATAATCTATCTTGTCAACATTTGTCCAAGATGCATGAGCCAGTCTTTGGAGTCACAGAGTTCAGGTGCTTTCATTTCCATTTTATTTTCACTTCAGTTCACTTCAGAAGTTACTTTTAGTGTAAGGTGATCAAATTTTTCTTTAAACAGCATTTCACAAATTCGATTGCCATCAATGTCAAATACAAATTACTGAAATGTATCAATTTATGGATTGGATTTGAAAAGACTTGGACTAAGATTTTGCAAATACAGAGCAGTTCCTCTAACACGATTAAGCATTAGGCTGCGTGAGATACTTTAGCAGAAATCTTTGTTAGTTGGCATCTTCAATTTTTCAATTTAAATCAGGTCAAAAATCATTTAGGATCATAGAGCCTGCAGTTTTTATTTCTTTTTTTTTTTTGGTAAGGTCTGCTAGAGGTAGGTGCTATAAAAGGGACATTCAAAATTTAATTTGTTTTAATTTTGAAATTTAATTTGCTTCTGAAATTGGAATTGAAGTGTTGTCTTAGAGTCATTTGTCAAGCAGGAGAACACATGCGCTCTGAGAAGCCACAGGTGCTCACTGTAAACTGTAGCTGTTTAGACTCCAATCTCTGCCTGCCTGCTGAAATAGTAACATTATCCCATTGTAGGATATGCTTGTCCTTTTTTATTTTTTGAATGCCGTTTATTTATGAGAATTATTAATGAGTATACCTAACTCATCTGGTCCGTCTTGGTAAAATGAATAACAAATTGGTGTTTAGGGGGCGATGTACCATGCAAAATGCAAATGGGATTTCTGAATGGAAGACATCCAGCATAGATCAAGACCTTGCCCATATGTGGGGTTTTTGTCTAAGCAATCTTTTTATAAGCTTTTTAATGCTTGAACAGCTACCGAAGCAAACAGAGACATATTATTTATTAATTGTGCACCATTAATAGCGAGGTCTCACCAACTGCCAATCCATATGGACATAAAGCCCTCAGTCCTAAATCTGCTCAGATTAATTTCTTTCAGGGGCCTCCAGCAGCGTGAGGGTGAAGTGAGAACTGGATTTTGCTCCTGCCTTTTTAATGCCATGCTTGGCAGATTAGTTCACTAGACCTTCCTTACAAGCAGGAAAAGCTGCCATCCTTCTTGGTCCTGTCCAGTCTAGAGATTAACTGAGATGAAGATGAAAGGACTTTAGATCTGTTGTGTTTTTCACAGATCCTCTCCAAAGCCTGAATAATCCTTTTGTCTGCACCTCCCCCTCCACAAAAAAAGGGTAATAAAAAAGATAAGAAACATGCTTCAACAAACTAAAAAAGCTACAATATCTAATTATAAGTGGAACTCTTACTGGAAAAAGTTCAAACTTAAAAATATAATTAGATCTAGTTGCAATTCAAGATGTTTGTACTTGTGATTACTGGTTACTTCCAGTCTGATGCTTCATGTGGAAATGTAGAAACGACCTCATCTAATCATCAACATCCCCACACACGTTGTGTGCCAAATTGCATTATGTTCTTTTTTTTTTTTTTTTAATTCAGACACATTCTGGTCTTTCCTAAATTTGCAAGCTAGCTCAGTATTCCTGGGTGAATCAGTTCAGAGGAAGGACCCAACATTTGCTGTGTCCAGAGCCACTTTCTGCTAGAAGCAGAGATGGTAATTTTGAGGAGTTTGATTGTCCCTGGTCACTCTTCTCTCTTCCTGCTTCTCCTGAGTTTGGCACAGTGTGGCTTTTTACTCTTCTCCCTCCTGTCGTACACCTCAATCTGTCTCCACGATTTAAGCATTCATGTGGTGCCTGTTTTGCATCATAGAGATTCACAAGTGATAGAAGTTAGACAAGCTTGTGTTTAACAAATTAAAATATAAAGATTGGAGATTTTGAGTGTGCCTGTGTGCTGCACGTGTTTGGGAGTGTGTGCAAGTTTATGTGTGTGTGTGCATTTTAATGATGAATTCAACCACAGTCAAACTACAAGCATTTTTATTCCACTTTTAGGGCAGGCTCTTTACTAGGTTTACCAGTTTTTCAGTAATTTAGAAAAGTGTAACTGGACTTGTGGGACTGCAGTGGTTAAACAGGGACTCTGGATTCTGACCTGCACTCTGCTGGGGAGAACTAAGAGCAGGATTGTGGAGGGAAGGTCCCCTTGAAAGAAGCTGAGACTCAGCAGCAGCAAGTGTAGAGCTTTAATTTTTTAATCTAGAAGACTAGCAGCTGTTTTCGTGTCCCATGTAGTGCTTACAGGAGTTAAGCAGGCACATCCCTTGAAGCAGCCTATTCCTCACAGGCAGGAATGGAGCTGGCGTGTGAACAGCCACCTTGGGAGTCTGGGTGAGCACTCAGCCCAGTGTCTGCCTGGGGCTCCCAGGGCAGGAAAGGTCATTTTCCTTAGGAACCAGCTGGACCCTTCAAGCAAAGGCTAGACGCTGGGCCTTTGGAAATCACTAATTTTCCACTGAAAGAGTATTTTTTAAAAAAGTGTTTACTCTGACAGTGGTAGCACTCCCTTTGTATTACTTTTTGTTTGTTTTCCAACAAGTCATTTTAAAAAGTCACCACTGCTTCCTGAAGAATGTCAGTTCACTTTTAGTGACTCGCCAAGCTTTGTATGGTCCACTCTGGAGCAGTATTTGATTGACTGGGTAAGCTCACTGCAGAAGAACCTGACCGTGACTGTATTTCTTTTCTTTTCCTTTCTCTTTTTTTCATCTTTAATTCTTAAATCCAGGGGGATCAGCTCATATTTTATTAAACTTGAAGATGTCTTCTAAACCATTTGAGAAGGTTAGGTCCTTGACTTTTGGATCTTAGGCAGCAGCCTGCTATAGATCTGATGAAAATCTGTCTGGGTATGTGCACAAATTGACTAAATGTTAATTCATAGATGCAGAGTAATATGCAAATAGAGATTCTAAACTTACTGCACCATCATTTTTAATGAAATAAGTTATTCAGCCCTTACAGTTAAGGAAATAATAAAATTATGCCTTGGCTCAGTACACTAGAATATAGAGTCTCTTCTTAATTCACTGATCACTGATTCACTTCTCTTTGCCACCAGATGGATTTGAACTTACTGAACCGAGAACATTATTTTTCTTTTATCTTAATTTAGGTAAGCTTGATGGTAAAGATGCCTAGTTGTGTACAAATTATGTGCGAGTATGCTTTTACTCATATGTAAATATGCACATAAATGCATAATCATAAGACAGATTGCTAATTTGATATAATATTGATACAAATTCAATAAATATGAGTGCCCCTCAAAGATGAGAGCTAGAAAACAGATAAACCTCACTTGTACCTACAGTGCTTTGAAAATCCAGTATTTACAAGAAATTATATAATTGTATCTAAAAAAATCATGTTTATAACATCATAAATTTATTTTTATTTTTGGCAAATTTTATTGTAGAAAAAGACACTTAATTTTTCTCATAACTGAGGTTATTTACTATAGATGGAAAATATTTATTAACAGTAATTTTACAGTTGATGGTTTTATCAGAAAAATTTGAAATCAAAGGGACTCACCATCAGACAACAGGACATTCCTATGGAGTTCTACCAAAGAGATTTTTTTTCCAATAAAATGTGTAGATCCTTCATTATAGAAACAGTTATTTGCCTTCAAGGAGCAAAGTGAAATGGTACAAAGAAAACATAAACAACTGAAGAATGATCAGGGGGTGAGCTAGTACTGGTGTTGAGTTAATTTACCCCAGATTTTCTCCATCCTGTGCATCATCTCCAAGTACATGTTGACACAGAGATTTGCTTCAGTCTAGGCAACTTAACCATCACAGTATAAAAGTGAAAGATGTGAGATATCAAGGAAAATTTATGAGTACATGAAAAATAAAAACAGAAGAGAAGCAAAATGTGTATAGTTTCAAGAGGAAGAAATCTTGGCCATTTAAGACTTTATCTCGCAACTCAAACTGTCAGTAGGAGGAGATGAAAGGAGGAAGATACCTTCACTTTGCCCCCTAGTTATACAAACTGCGCTTAGCATCGGAGGGAAGGAGGACTTGTTTTGTTTGTTTGTTTCAGAAACCAAAGCTTTTACTATATAGGTATATTTTTATAGTATACAGCACCCCATAGATGGTAGATGCACTAGTCTGTTATTTTTTTCATCCATCCATCTGTTCATTCTTTACACATTGAGACTCAAAATCCTCACGTATCAGGCACTCTCCTAGGTGTACATGCTAATGGTAGGAGGGACATAGTAATTATTGACTATATAGAGTAAGTGCATTGTTAAGGAAAGCATGTAACAGAAATAGAAATGTGTATTTTTAACCATGACTAATAATAATTCTGAGGTGGTTGATATAAATTTTCTTTCTAAATTATTCATCTGGGAATCATAATGTAGCCTTAATCTCAGTAATTTAGGCAATTGAAACTTATTTAAACAAAATCTATTGAAATTTTATAACTAAATATCCAAAGTGTATATTTTTGTGAAGAAAATAACAGCAAGGTATTACATAAATGCCTTTGGAGGGATAAAGATAATTAGTTAATTACTTTTTTGTCATTTAATATTGGGAGAATTTCAAAGCCTTGGTTATTGTACCCTTTTAAAACTTATTTCTTTTTAAGAATAAGCTGCTTGTATATTTAGATGCATTAGAGCATAAGATATTACTGTAATAAAAGTATGAATTCTAAAGTCATGCCCTTTCCTGAGGTATTAACTTCAGTACTGTAATGGGTTTTTAGCCTGTCAGTTTAAAAAGAACTGAAGTAAGAAAGATAAGTGAACAATACACATGAATAGAAGTTTAATGGAAATTAAAAAGTGAGAAATTTTGGTCAATGGAAGAGAAAAAATATGTCTTGGCAGAGGAATAAATAGACCATAAGTAGTTCTTAATGGCATGCTTATGGGATATAGCAACGTGTATGTACCCACAAAGCCAATTTAAGGCATACTCTTCAATTGTCGTGGTGGTTGTGGGAAGGGAATGTGCCCTTGAAATGTGTAAACACAAAAGTGGAATATATGCCTTGTTAATACAATATTTTGTAAGCATGTGACCATTGACCATTTTAAATAACATAATTTCCACTCAGTCCAAATATCTGTCAGCTATAACTCCAGATTTTGTAAAGGGTGTGTGTGTGTGTGTGTGTGTGTGTGTGTGTGTATGACAGTGAGATCAGAGAGGGCGAGGTGTGGGTGGGGATGAGAGAAGATGGGGATGGGCAAAGGGAAAGAGAGAAAGAAAAAATGTCTGAAACTACTAGTGAACAGGATTATACTAAGTACAGAGCTAACTTGGGCGTAATTAGGTTCAACAACTCTTTAAGTTTCCACGTGGTCCTAACATCCACTTCTACTCCTAAAGAAGTGGTCAAAGCTGCATAAAATTGTTCTAACTTGGTCTGAATTCTTCTTGTTTTGTTGGGCAGCTTTAGCGTATCCTGTTACTTGTCTTCCACACTATTTCAGCTCCATTCTTTTCTGTCCCAGTTTGGTCGCCATCCTCTGGTAGGGTACGTGTCATGAGTCCTTACTTCCAAATTCGCCATGTGTTCATTTTAAGACATATTGTTATTGCCCAAGAAGGTTTGCTTCTCTGCAATACACATGCAGAACTCCGGTGGCTTGCATGCTTACTTAGGGCTTGGATGGTTTTTGTGTTGCGTATTCAGTCAGCCGTGTTCTCTAACTTAAGAAATCTTTGCTCATTCTTTCTATGCTTGATTCTTTGTCAGCCTTCAAGAGGGGAGTTTATAGTAACTCTTGGACAAAAGAGGGGAAGCAATTGCCTGATCGCAATCTAAAGAAAACATAAACTAATTTTGATAAATTCCATGCCACCTCCTTCATATCTTTCATGGGAGATAGTCGCTGTCCTCAGACCCAAGGATGAATCATTTTTTTGTCTAAATGGGTCACGGTGGTCTTGTTCCCTTTGCCAGTGGTTATTTTAGGCCTGGTGTGCAACATAGCTCTGGCCAATCTTGCCTGAAGGGAACTCTGTGGGATGTCATTTGGGACAGGTTTTCCACTCTGATAAAAACTCCTTTTCTGATCTGAGATGTTATCATGAGAACAGAATCCACAGCATCTTGCAACCAAGAGAAAAGCTAACCTGATGACCATGGAGCAGAAGCCTGGAAAAAACCGAGATCCACTTACAGCCATGTATCACTATGCTGAGACGTTTAATTAGCCAACCCCAATTAATCCCAAGTTCCACCAAAAGCAGGGGTTGGTAAAACCATACACTGTTACTCCATTAAGAAGCACAGCTTGAGTTTTTATCGGTGGTGAAAGGGAGAGAGGACTGAGAAAGGAAAAAAACACTTTTTTTTTTTTATGTATTTTCAAGCTGTTTGTATCAAATGTGTCTGATAGATTGATGTGCAGCTCCTTTCTTTAAGAATCCAAATGAAGAACATAGGGCAGCTCTAGAATTGGGTGTTGTCATACAGACTTGGAAGGAAATAAGAAAAATTTATCCAGAGTCTCCTCCCTCCAGAGTGTAGTTTGGTGTTCTAGAAAAAAAGAGAAAGACAAAAAGATCCAGAGTATGGATGGCAACATGTAGTGGCACATATATTTGTACCTTCTATTTTACTGTTTCCCCAGTGCTTCATTTCTTTGTGTAGATAGAAGTCTCTTCTGATACCATCTTTTGTCTATATGAAGATCATTCCTTGTAGTGCAGATCTGCTAGAAAATAATATTCTCTCTGGAAAAAAAATTAATCTATTTTCATTTTTTTGAGAAATCTTTTAACTGGATATAGAATTGGAGGTTGATACTTGGCTTCTTTTAATACAGCCATACTTCTTTTTATTGTGTCTCAAAGGTGGTGCATTTTTGACAAATTGAAGGTTTGTGGCCACCCTTCATCAAGCAAATTTATCAGTGCCTTTTTTTCCAACAGTATTTGCTCACTTCATATCTCTGGTTCACATTTTAGTAATTTTACTCTCAGCATATCTCAAACATTTTCATTATTATATTTGTTCTGGTGATCTGTGATAACTGATCTTTGATGTATTATTGTCATTGTTTTGAGGCACCACCAACTGTACCCACATTAGATGGTGAACTTAACTGATAAATGTTCCGGGTGTCCTACTGCTCCACCAACTGGCCATGCCCCCATCTCTCTCCATCTTCTCAGGCCTCCCTAGTCCCTAAGACACAACAGTGTTGAAATGAGGCCAATTAATAACTCTAAAGTGATGTCTATGTGTTCAAGAGAAAGAAAGATTCACATCTCTCAGTTTAAAGTAAAAGCTAGAAATGAGTAAGCTTAATGAGGAAGCTGTATTGAAAGCTGAGACAAGCCAAAAGCTGGGTCTCTTGTACCAAACAGCCAAGTTTTGAATGTAAAATAGAAGTTATTAAAGGAAATTAAAAGCACGACTCCAGTGAACACACAAATAATAATAAAAAAAAACCATTGCTGATACAGAGAAAGCTTTAGTATTCTTGATAGAAAATCAAACCAGCCACAGCATTCCTTTAAGCCAAAGCCTAATCTAGCACAAGGCCCTAATTCTCCTCGATTCTTTGAAGGCTGAGAGAGGTGAGAAAGCTGTAGAAGAAAAGTTTGAAGCTCTGAGAGGCTGGTTTATGAGTTTTAAAGACATACACCATCTC